GGCGCCAGTGCGGCTGGCCCGCGTGGCTCGGACAGGGTGTGCTCGGAACAGGCTGCCTCTCCTGTTAAGGGGATGTTGGGGTCATGTCAGTAAATCTGCCAGCATGCATCCCGGAGCGATTCTAGAGGCCGACCTTAATCATTAGCCAATGATATGCTTGGAATCTGTGAGTGACAGGTGAGGGGGAGCTCCAGGGGCCAATCAGCCCCACCCCTGCATCACTGCCAGCTTCGTCAGCTGTGAACGCGCAGTAATCAGGCATTGACCCCACAGCTTTTGTGGTCAGGAATGGAAATGGGGTTTGGACCCAGGTGGGATATCTGCTGTAGGCTCTCCGTACCTCGACTTAATGAAATGTCACTGAAATCCACGCAACTGACACTCCCTCAATGTGAGGCTGTCTGAGGCCTGCCCCCCCACTCCTCCAATCGGCGAGGGTTTGGTCCCCAGTACATGTAACCCCCCCCCCGTAGAACATCCATTAGCTGGATATTCTGCAGCTGTTGTTACTATGCAACGCAGAACCGGGCGTGTGTGTGTGTGGGTGTGGTGGGGGGGTGGGTTTGTTGTCTGCTTGCCTTCCAGAACAGCCCAGAGGTAATCCCTGCCCTGTTTCTCCAATAGCTGCATCTGCATGGTATTTGATCACAAAACGATTCTCGTCTCGAGTTCTTACAATCATCCGCTTTCGCTAAAATCCCATTGAAGGGCTCGCCTCCTCGAGGAAACATCTGGTAATTCTCGTGGTGAAGGAGCATTTAAGGGTGATCCGTCACACGGCACTTAAACAGCTACTCAACAACCCCCCCCCGACATCTGCTGAGATGCCTCTTGGCTAGAAAGGTAAAGGTAAGATGTTTCTGAGGAGGAGGAAACTGGAAGCTGCACTGCGAATGATGGAATTCCCAACTAAAACTTCTCCCAACTAAAAAAATGACCTCTATTGCACCGTCATCTGTTTATCCTGCTCGTGCGGTTTCATCAGAGCCTCTGCATGGCCCTTTATGATGGCAGGCAGCAGTTTTCAGATGTATCCTGACTGAATCCCCCCCCCCTCCCTCACCGCTGACGGCCTTGGAATTTGGCGGGCCTTGATGGATGTCTCTGTCGGCACGGGCACTGCCGTGGGCAAGCAGAGCGTGGCAGGTTTATAGCTCGCCGTGATGGATCTGACGCTGGGGGGGGGTGGTTGGGGAGGAGGGGAGGCTGTGAATATTGTCTCTCTTTACCGCCACCTATTTGCCCTATCATAAGCACCGATATCACAGAATCATGTGCTTTATTTAAGTTCCACACAAGTGTGCGGATTTTTATCAACTCTGGTTGACGCCGCAGCCTTACCGTGAATAGAGAGCACCTACGCGTGATGAAGGGGGCCCCGCAACATGCTACACGTACACGGAAGGGTGACAGGGGGAGGGGGGTGTCGCCTTCAGTAGCTCCTGTAGGAGGGGCCAACTTTATCAGCCAATGACATGATTAGAATCGGTGAGTGACAGGGAAGCCGTCACTTTGGGGGCCAATCAGGTTTTGGCTAGGGACGGTATCACTGTGGCCCCACCCCTTTAGAACTCTAAGATGCAGGATCCTTTATTTCCGAAGGTGTACTGACAGAGTGATACTGAGAGATAGTAAATGATGAATTTGTTGTGGCGTAAATCTGTAATAGCGGTCAGATTTAGCTTTATTGTGTTTTGGTGCATCGGGAGCTGATAGCGGCTATGATGTAGCACAGATTCCAGGTCAGACACTGTGCCGTAACACTCTGATGCTGAGTGTTACTTACCTAAGTCATCAGTAGCACTTTTGGTCAGTTGTTTTACCCACGATCCCATCCCATCTGGTCCCCCCTCCCCCATCCTCTGTCTCCTCCCAGGCTTCTGGAAGCTTCCGCCACCTTCCCAGTTTGTCACCGCTCGTCTCACACTCTGGCCGCGGGGATGAGCCGGCCCGCTCTGGACCCGTGATCCGTGGGATCTGCTAGCTTCCTTAGATCATGGACGGCCCTTGGATGAGAACCGGGCTGGAGGCCGGACGGGTTCACGCTGGGTCAACTAGGATTCGGACCTTGGCTTGCGATGGATTGGAGAAGGCTTTGGACTATTTAAATAGGACTGGCTTCAGTGTCAGTCTGGGACCAGCACTGGGCCGGGCTGTAATCTGGCTCCCCGCTCACGTGTGAGCCTGGCCCACTGCGGTGGACACGCTGGACCGATTCTCTGCTTGTGGCACCAGGAGGAAGGTGACCGGGCCGGTTCAGGAGCAGCAGATGGTGAGATCTCTGATCCAAGCCATCCCCCCATGCCCCGAGGTCGCTCACCACGCTTCTCCCATAAAGCCAAATATTCAATTAGGCCTTTTACAGTCCCTTTCGCTCATTACTATTATTAATATCCCCCTGTACCCAGCTCTAAGTTTTCCCCGCTGAATTGTTAGCCTGGAATCCAAGCCCACGCATTGATGCTGTATTTTCTTATGTGCGTTGTCTGCTTTTGGCAGGGTTACTGCCTTCTCCATTCCTAATCACACTTCCAGGGCTCGTTTTAAGCCTGAGACGCAGAGTGGGAGATACAAATGTGCTCTCCGCTATCATTTATGTGGATGCGGAGTCTATCCCCATTCGGACAAACTCCCACCCTATGGGAAAACCTCTTAAAAACATACACGCACACACAAATGACAATATTTGTGCTGGAGCAGCCGCATTATAATCATGCGTTTGATCCTTTGTAGCGCGAATGAATTAAGCGAGCGTTGGGGTGCCTTTTGGCGGTACTTTACATGCAACAAGAAACGAGATTGGGGCGCAAAGCATTATGGGAGGAATATATTAAGAAAGGCGACGAGGCTGATCAAACAGGAAGAAGTATCGGACGGACAGGTACGACACCCCCTACCTGCTCGCTTAGCATATGCTAACCCGAGCGATTAGCATAAATTCCAATAAACCTCCCCCTGCACCGTTTATAGCATTAAGGCAGCGGGGTTTGTGTCTCTCTCAAAGGTACAACTGCAGTTAACAGCCTGGATTGAGATCCGAACATAAGGGTGGCGTCCTCCGCCCTTCTGGGCAAGAACTCGACCCACATTGTAATCCCTACATGCTCCGGCGTGTAAATTATTAATCTGTAAATTGTTGAAAGCTATGCAAATTGCCCCAGTTGAACATATCAGCTGAGAGAATAAATAATGTATCGTGTTTTAATTAAAAAGAAAAAAAACAGTACATTTTTCCTCAAGTCACCGATCCAAAACTAAGCCCAGATGCAAATTACATATTTGTTCTAGAGTATAAAATTCCTGTAGAAATGCAGCCTTCCTGACCTACCCAAAATCTATTATGCATGGCAACTCGTTAAAATTTATCTACTCTTCTATGCTACTACTAGTAATTAATCTTTAAGGTCATCCATAACGCCTTAAAGGGCACCTCACTGGACCAGCAGTGTGGTTACTCTGTAATTGACAAATATAATATTTACAACAAAAACTTAATTATAAAACACAGCTAATTTCTGATGCACGCGCTATAGGGAATAGGAGGACCGTTTTCGGTTTTATTTTGAGTCTTTCTCCAAGTTTTCTGCCCCCGATAATGGGGCAGCCGAATCAGTTTAACCCTCCCACCTCGCCAACTGTGACTTAAGCTTGCTTAGTTAATTACTGTCATTTCCGGCCCATTAACTCCGGCGCCTCGCACCCGCGCCTCACCGCTCGGCCCCAGCTGATTGGTTAAAGAGCGGACGTGTGTAAGGTCGGTTCTGCTGCGTTTCCTGCTCGCCGTCCCGGAGATAGCCCTGTCTCCCCCCGTCCCAGAATGCAGAAGACATGGAACACCACTTATGATCGAGTGCAAGGCACATACATGCTAAATCACAAAATAGGAGCAGTTTAAACCCCCCCCAGTTCACCCAATCGGCATGATTTTCCCTGGACCACATTCTCACACACATACACACAGAACCTGAATCAAGCCCACATCTCTGGAGATGAGAGGCCTCATCGCTATACATACAGCGCGATCTCATGATATCGTGTTGTATGCACACATATGCTATAAAAGACGCAGACGCGCTTTAATATTTCAGCAGCTTTTGTCTGGGAATGAAATACAATATGAAATATTTTCGCTCTATTCTTTCAGCACTACAGTGAGAAAATAATGAAGAGCTCCTTATCTGAGTAGGGTGGGATGAGAGGTTGAAAAAAATCTATACCTATATTAATTAAGCGTTCGTTTTGTGCGCAGTGCCTTAGCTTATGGGAGAACTATTCAGCAAATAAAATCATAACAGTGATATTCTTTGATGGGTTAGGAGTGGACTGTCATTTGTCGTTTAATAATGTGCTTCGTTGCTTCATAGGGCTTTCATTTATAGACTTAATAAACCCTCAACGTCGGTGGTAACTGAAAAAACTGTATAATTGCGAACACAAAAGAGACCGCGTGTGCTCTGTACATTGCGGAGCTTTTATTGTATCTATTAATGTATATGTCGAATGATTTACTTCCACATAATTTCACAGCCATCGGTGACGCCATGTTCAAGGGGTTTGAGAAGGGCTTGGCGCCACCTGCTGGATAAATGTGGTGGCTGGCCCTCAGCCTTTGTTTTTTTTTGGTCGTTTTATTTGTGTTTTTCCTCTGGCATTCCATTAATCTTACCGAGCCACACTTCTGTACTGTCTTCAGTCATTCCCGCCCTGGGATGTGTGCTCCGTTGTTGTCGCGTGATGTTTAGCATAACTGCTTATGCAAATAAGTCTATGTTGGGGAAACTTAGAGCGTCGGGGGCGGTTTGTGGCTCAGCGGGTTGGGACGCTGTGCCTGTGATCGGCACGTCGCCGGTTTAAATCCAAGGGTCGCCAACGTGATTTCACAGTTCGGCCCCTGAGCAAGGCCCTTAACCCCCCCCCCCAATTCTTCCACAGGCTGCCTAACCCTGCTTTATCGTCTGTCACTTTGAATAAAAGAATGTGATGAATAAATAAAGCGCAAGGCAGAGAGCACAGCAGATGGTATACCAGTCTCATTTATCATACGATTAGGAGGAAAAAAACTCACAGGAACGCTTGTGACCAGATTTAGACTATTAAACCCTTGGAGTAGTGCTATCCATTGAGCCTCTGCACCACCTCCAGGTAAATTAAGTTACACACTCATTGCATGGGAGTCATCAGATTTGCATACACAAATGTGAGAGTACTGCAGGGTGGGATTATAGCTACGGATGCTTTGTCTGGCTAAGTTAACTTGACTGGCTGTCCCACAAGTGCCCCCTAGAGGTCTGTCATGCACCTACAGGACGACGATGCTGAGTGTCAACAGTGTGAGACGCTCATTTGCATTTATATTTGCACTCCTGATACAATGTGACCTGCAGTGTGTACTGAAGCCTGAGGGTGGGTGAGAACGGTTGACATTTTAAGCGAAACATCAAAAATATCAACAAGAAAGAAAACACAAAGGCTATAAACTTGTGTCAGAGAAGAAAGGATACTGGTAGGCACTTTGTGATTTAAATCCCTGCTTTGAAAAGGCAATGTGTGACCTTTCTGGCGGTTTCTTCGTTGAAAATTTCATCCAAAGAGAGAATTGTACCAGTTTTGTTTTTATCTTAGATGTTTTACTGAGGTGGTTCAGGTTTAGAGCCTGTAATCTTCCGGTCAATACAGCAGCACTGTACCCTGTAACACTTGATTCAAAATGCCGCAGCGCATTTGATATTCAGTCAGCCCGAGCGTTCCCATGATGCATCTCTCCTGGTCTCGCTTCACTGGCTCCCTGTGGGCGCTCGCGTCAAGTTAAGTCCTTGGTGCTGGCTGACAGGTTCATCATTGGCCAGACACCCATCTCCTATATGTCCCGTCTCGCCCCTTTGGGTCACCAATCCAGTGCCATTGGAGCTCCCTGCACAACGCGAGAAGCGTCACTCCAGACGGTTCTTATATGTGGCTCCACATTTATGGAATGAGCTGCCAAACGACATCTGGTCATCGGCTTCCCTCTCCACCTTCAAGAAAGTCCTCAAGACCCATCTGTTCCATAAATTCCTCTACTAACCTGATGCCTTTTTACGTTCCCCAAATGCTCTTATATTGCAATTATGGTCCTTGAATAGTCTCATAAGATTCCTGCTTTGCCGGAAGTTGTTGTGTAGATTCTGCTCCTGGTTACACTCAACAAACTAATCTGCTAAATATGTAAATACAGACTATAGCCTCCAATTCATTTAATGAGCAGAGTCTTTGTGAGGATCTCAGACAGCACAGGAGAAGTCTTTCACTTCGTTCCCTTCCTCTCTATCCTCTGCTATACCCTGCTCTATAGCTGTGCATTATTTGTAGTAAACAAGATGGATCCAGTACAAACTGAATTTTTAAAAATACAGTCTCTATCTATGGAACCTCACATCAGAAATGGGAACTTCGTAAATAGAAATGGAAAAACTGAAATATCACAATACAAATTGATGCTGTTACTGGTTTTCTTTATAAATTTTATACACGAGGGGCGGTGTAGCACTGCCGGTGGTACCGTCACCTCAGAACTCTGCTAAACATAACTCTGGGGCGCCCTCTAGCGGCTACGAGTTTCGTCCATGTTTTATGCATTTTCTGTAGTATGTTTCTATAACTAGAAAGAATGAAGTACGTACAAGATGAGTGGAGACGTAGCTTGCTTACACGATGCAATTAAGGACTGCCAAGAAGAGACCAAATGCCCTACAAATTGCTGACAACGTACTATGAATAATTTATCTTTGTTCTAGAGATAAATAAAAAGTAACTTCAGAGCTACTCGATCCTCGGTATCCGTTCATTCTCTGTACTGAATGAAAACCTGTTCGTCCAAATAGGTCAAATATATTCACTGAATAAGAATGAAGGGTTTAAGTCAACTGTGACAATTTCAGGTGGGCTTTTTAAACACTGATTAGGTGTAGAGATCCATATACTGTTAATGTTAGTAGTGATTTGGGGCACCAGGTAGCAGGGTAATTAAGAACATTGATTTAGTTGTGAAAAGCTGTCATTTGATTCCAAGCAAGGGCTTGAACAAGGCACTGAATTTCTCCTGCTGCATAAAGTTACTTTGGGTGCAAATGTCAGCTAAAGCTAGTATATGCTGTAGTAAATCTATTGGTGAGATCGCCCGTCCGGGAAATTCCATCAGTGATATACAGCTGAGCGAAAATCCGGCACGACGGTGAATCATGATGAACCAGAAGCAGATCCCATGCTCCTCGGAAACCACTTCCTTCGGGTCACCCGGAAGATACCGCCGTGCGTCTTTTCTTCGGTCTGTCATCTCCACCACCATCATCCTGAGGTTGCAGGTCGTCTTTATACAAAAGTAAGTGACCGTCAAAGTAACCGTGTGCCTGCATGGACCAGGAAGATCACCGCTCGCCTGGTCTCCTACCGCGTAGCGTGTCTTTGCGTTTGAAGCGATTAGCCAGTATTACGAGCGACGGTAGCACCGGTTAGCTGGGTTTTTTTTTATATCAGTTAAGTGCCAGGTCTTTTATTTGTAACCTTGTGCATTTTAGAGATTTTAAAATGTTGACTTTTACACCACCCGATGCGTCACACTTACAGCTACGTACTTCTCTAATGCACGGAAGAAAAGGAACTACTGTTACTTCCAAACAGTAAAATGGCTTGTTCAGCGAAATTTGCACATAAATAGGGTTTGCATGGAAATTGCATCGCCGTTTTCATTGCGGTACAAAATAATTTTTTTTCTCTTGTATTTTTTGTTTTGTTTCCGTTTCATTTTCCGTAAATGGGAAGTTGACGTGTCCTTCCCGAAAAGCAGGTACCTACCTCAGTACTGGATCATCGGTATTTTCGGCTTCCCTTGTCTCCAGATAATGTATTAAATTAATGATTTTGGGGTAGTTAAACCCCAGTGGTTAATTCTTTCATCCTGCGTATACGTCGCTAATATTAGATTCTCTGTGACTAATGACTTTTTTTTTCATTTTGAGACCCATAAATGAGTTCGGTTCTGCTCTAGTTACCTTAGAAAACCTTCATATTAAGGTCACTTGCTTTTTTTTATTCTCCGTTTCAGGAATGAGGCTGTACTTGCTGTTAGCGGTCGTCACCCTGCTTTCTTTTGCCCCGGGGGCAGTTCAAGGTGCCGACAAGAAAAAATTGCAGATTGGGATTAAGAAGAGAGTGGACAACTGCCCTATAAAATCCCGGAAGGGAGACGTACTGAACATGCACTACACTGTGAGTACAGGCTGGGAACGAGGCTCGGAGCTAGTGTTATGTGGGTATCAGGCTCTGGCTGTGGGTGTGTGTTTGAGCTCTGCTTGGTCCGTTTGGTGTATGATCCAGATGGATTTGTGTGGAATTTCATAGGGAAAGCTTGAGGATGGGACAGAATTTGACAGCAGCTTACCCAGAAATCAACCATTCACTTTCACTCTGGGGACTGGACAGGTCATCAAAGGATGGGACCAAGGCCTTTTGGGGTGAGTAAACCCCCCATTATGATGTCTCCATTCAGCTTTAAGGGCCAGTATTGAATGTGCTGTGATGCGTATCACTGAGGAATTCTGTCGTTCGCCTTGCTTTTCTGTAGAATGTGCGAAGGAGAGAAACGGAAGCTGGTCATTCCTTCAGAGCTGGGTGAGCCGCTTGTTATACCTCTTTACTAGGGTTGCAAAGTGGTGGAAAATTTCTGAAAACCTCCATTCCATGGAAAGTTTAAGCTGGGGAATTTTTTAAATATCCCATGTTGGAAACTTTCCATGGGACTTAACAGGAATATATGGTAATTAACTGGATATTTCCCAGAATTTTGCAACCCTACTCTTTACTAGGTCTGGAAAGTGATTCTGCTGTGTCTGTGAGAGCAGAGAAGCTTAGGAGTTTATAACCCTCAAGCGATTAGACGACTTAATGTTAATTGACACTTTGAATTTATATTCTCCATATTTATGCACCTCACTCTTTGATGTGCTTTTCATGTCTCTGCTTTTACTGTTTATTATGGTGGATTTCACCACATGTCACTGCAGGCTGTAGTCTGACTGTGTACCTTGCATGTGACAAAATCTTATTCTTATTAATTAGGTACTTTATAGTGATGGATGAACAGAACCTATAACTGATTTTAGTCGTAGTTATTTTTTAAAAGAGGGTCAGAGTTGGTCATTTCCTCTCTCTTCATGCTGCTAACGTTACATTCTCTACTCCTAACCGTCATGAACTCTCAGGGACTGAGCAGACCAGCACACATTGTGTCGTCTTGCAGTCCCACCCCCGCCCAAAAGGTGGTGCTGGTGATAATCGTTTACATCTTTACTTTCTCTGTTTCAGGCTATGGAGACAGGGGAGCACCCCCAAAAATTCCAGGTATCAAAACCGGAATTCAGTATCCGTCATTACGAAACTTTCGTTATCTGAGACTATTGTTTATAATGTTATGCTAGTACATGAAACAATAGGTGTGTATATCTTAACAAGATAAAACAACTGGTGCTTGAAATGAACCATCTTTAGTAACTATATTATTGTCATGCATTTACATTTGCTATATTTAGTATCCATCACTGATTTTAGTTTAGAATTTAATTTAATATGTAGCCGCATACATTTTTTAACTGTTACATTATGAAACGAAGAGAGAGCTATTTCTGAAAGGTACTGGAGTGGTGTTCTGTTTCTGCAGGGGGCGCTACACTCATTTTTGAAGTGGAATTATTAAGCATCGAAAGAAGATCTGATTTGTAAGGAGCCTGTTTACCATCTGAAGATGCCATACACTCAGTACTTAACCCAAAAACATCTTCGCTCATCTGGACCGGGCTTCTGTTGCTGCTGGTGAAAGTGCAGTACTTTACCCCATGAGAGGTTTATGGTCTCGATTTAAGTTCGCGATCACAAACATGAACAGAACTTGAAGGTTTTTGATTGGTTTTTTGAAGACTTTTGATTTAAAAGGCACTTTGTTCCCAAAATGTCTGCAGGATTCTGGATCTTTAGAAGGAAGGCATCTCCCAGAATTCTAAAATTCAAACATTTAATTTAGAACTTGGATTGATATTCACTGTACTCATTTGCAAAATAATTTTACCAATGTATTTTTCTTATCAAAAGTCATTTCAGGTTCTTTGACTCAGGGGGGTTGAACTGAATTTAATAATAAAAAAAAACGAGAAATGCGTTGCGTACGTATTTATCCAGTGACCAGCATAAGCTGCACCCAATTCAGGGCCCCCCTGGGGGGACGACCATCTTTCGGTGGAAAGACTTTTCCAGCTCATCTGAAATGCCAAGGACAGATTTTTCAGAGAATTAACAGGCAGAAATTGACATTATTTAAAAAAAAAAAAAAAAAAACTTTATTAAAGTTGAATAAAAAGCGTTACAAAATTATCAAGACAGAATGGTACCTATTGCTACACAACACTTCAACCTAAGCATTCAGCACTCACTAAACGGCATCATTTAAGGTTCCCCCACAACAAGTTTCATAAAGGACATCTGATACATAACACAGCATAACTGACTCATACTACAGTTAATGTGACCTTTATAATGGTCTAATAGCTACTGCAGGTTTGAGTGCTGGTCCTGGGCACACGTTTTGTGCCACATTAACTGCTACACGGACATAACGAGGTTACTGGCTACTGTGACAGGTCTTGGGATTAGAATGAATTTGAGGTGCTTTCAAGCTGTGTTCCAATATAGTTTCAGCCCCCAAAAGATTACTATTACTAGATAATCCCTAGCCAGCGAACAATTAAGTGTAAAAATAAAAAAATCTTTTTTTGAAGCTAAAACTACAGAAGGCAGTGAGGCCTCAGGACCAAGATTCAGTAAACCTGCACTACTGCCTGCCCCTCAAACTTAAGAAACAGCTACACTCTCACCGACCAACAACAGCAAAAAAACGAAACAAAAAAACGTTTGTTCATTCTTTAAAGACCAGTCACTCCTAGGTGCTATTTCAGTTCTTAGTTTCTCTACCGATATCATAGGGTTAACGTAATACCGCCCTAAGGCAACATCAGTTTGCTGAAGAATATTTTGCAACTCGCTGAAGAGGAGGGGGTTGGGGGTGGGTCAATGTGGCAGGGGTCAAAGGTCAAGGTCACTATGGGTCAGGATGCTTACAGTCAGTCAGAATTAGGTCTCCATTTTCAAATGGCGGAGAAGGGCACTTTCCTACCACAAAAAGCACTGGACCAGTTCTGGCTGTCACGTGGGACTGACCGGTACTGAAACAGGACAAATTACAGAATTCAAAGCTAAAACTATTGATTGATGTGTTCTACAAAGTCACCTGTTACATAACCATGTTAAATGAACGTCAAAGGCCTAACGCATTTAGGCTTACAGTACTTACGTTAAAAGTTCCCATACAAATAGCATGTTTTACGAATGTCATACGTAGACAGAACTGCCAAAATAACCCCACAGCTCCTAGCAGTGATTTTATAAACTCAAAATAATTTACGCGAAAGGAGTCTGTATTCCTGCTCAAACCTTTGAAAAAAGTGGTACTTGATTACAAACGAAATAGCGTAATTTCTCTTTTGCTCTTATAAAGAGTATTATTACATTACAACTGATTTACACCTTTAGAAATACAGCATATGAAATTACTAGAAGTCAGTCATTTTCTGTCTTCCTTGAGTATATTTGTAATGTATTCACTACAGCCGGTTTACACATTTTAATTTTAACGTAATTTAGACTGACAGTACCAATGATGGTCGCAGGGGACGAGCTGAAGGCACCCTGAATTGGACCGTGGTTGATTCCAGATGTTAGTCTGCTCAAACATGTGTTAATGAAGCCCTTAAATTGCCCACAGCCGATTAATTTAGTGACAATATGGCAACATCTCTGCTTCTCTCGCTATTTTTGGACTTACTGATCCCCCATTTAGTTAAGCAGGCTTCACAGTATAGCGTAAGCACCAATAGAACCCAGTCATTCTAATAAATTGTACTATACATTACTACATATCAGTGCCTCTGTGTACAGCACACTGATATACAAATAAATAGATATACGAGAGTTTCAATCCCAAAAAGCCGAAATGAAAATAGACAAGTTACAGTAGCCCTGCAGTGGATCGTTTGGGTTCCGGACTCCTTCGTTGTGTCTTTAGTCACACCAAGGGGATTCTGGGAGATCCGGCATGGCCACAGCGCAGAACGTAGGTATGGGAGTGGGGGATCACTTCTTCTGGGGCGTGCTGAGCTTCTGCATCCCTCGGATCTTGTCCAGGAGCTCCGTCACAAAGTCCTTCAACGCAAAAAAAAAAAAAAAAAGCCCGAAATTAAAAAATAACAATGGAATGCGGACAGACGGGAGGATACCAGCACCTGGGACGTGGGCAGATTAAGATATATGACGGCATGCCGGAGGTGACAAAAAGAGCAGGTCAAAAACTCAATTCAAAATTCAGAGAAGCTGCTTTACAGGAGGCCGCCAACTTACATCAGTAGGTTTGTAACAGTCGACCAGCAGACCCTGTAAATCGGCGAGAGGAGAAGGGCGACCATGAGATTACTGGTTAAACAGAACGAAGGCGGATCAAAATAAAAAATATAAAGCGCGTTAAAAAGTGAAATGCAATAGAATAGACGTAAGCTATTCACAACGTAAGCTTTGGTATGACAGTGGACTGTAGGGATGGACGTTGCCATGGCACCTTGACCCTGCAGGCCCGGTCCGCGTCAGTTGGCATGTCCAGCAGTTCGTCCACGTCGATCTCTAGCTCTGGAATCGCTTCCTCCTGAAATGCACATGCAAGGGTGGGAAAATTGCTGTTTAATTAATGTCAACCAATCTGATGGATAAGCTGTTTAAACTGCTGTTTTTATGGAGAAATCTCATTAATGGTGCCTAATATCAATCGTTTCAGCTCACATATCATTGATCACAAAAAAAGTGTTGTAGAAATTCAAAATGTCTCACATACAAACTGGAGTTGTGGGATATTCCGCTTTTCACCGGTAGGTGTCAGGCTTGCACTCATTCTGGTGACCTAGTTGCGTATGCCAGTTTGGTAATGGATATGCCTATTCCTGATTGGGTGACAGCTGAATGCTTAGCCTTGACTGAATGAGTTTTTGGAGTACTAACGTCCAACACGTCTCCGGGGGGGGGGGGCATGATGTGCGGCTTTCGGTCTAACCCGCATCTTAATTAGAATTGTTAAAGATGCTGATCTACATGTCAAATCTACTAATAGCTGGAATCCCTTTAAAACCTATTCCTTGTGCGCCAATGAACAAAAAAAATGTTTCCTTTAATTTGGCTTATTGGTGCTTCTGGAACAAAACCAGTCCTTTTTTCCCAGCTGATCAGTCGTGCAATCAAGGAATACGGAACGGCTAATTAATGAACGACTTAATAGATGGTAATGAACCCTCGGTCTTGCACGGAAACCATAAAACAATGTCCTCAGAGTCAGAGGTAGCCTACTAATCTAAGGAATGGATAATTAACCTCAGAAAAACCGCGAAGGCGGCGGCGCCGCGCTGCTACCCTGTCAGGGGCCGGCTGCATTCGGCCGTCTCCCGTTCACACCTCCTCCATCCATTTTTTCCCCTCCTTTCCTCACCGGCGTCTCCCACACTCCTCAAATTAGTGCCAGGAGACTCTGCAGCGTCTGCAGGTTTTCTTTTTCTTTTTTTTTTTGTTCGGCTACCGCTAAATTAGCAGCTGATTTAGACGCCGCGGTGACCCGCCAGTTTACTTCCCGTGCGAGCAGCGAATCAATCATGGCAAGGAAGCTGGGTGGTAGATGGAGCGCTGTCACCATCCCAGAAAGCTATCCGCAAATTCTGGCTATACTAATCACCCCCCCCTCCCCTACTTCCTCTATGAACAACAGGAAGGACCAAACCCCCACCAGCAGGACCGGAGAGACGGCAGAGAGCGGTCATTCTCCTCCAGTCTTTTCTCCGTGGAAGAAGCGCGCACAGCTAAGTGTTATTGCCGTAATGGCTCCCTATTAAACCAAGGGAGAGCTAAATTGAGAACTGATGTAAATGAATATCTCGCACTTTGGGGAGGGGAGGGGAGGGGAGGGGGGGGGGGCACCGTTTTCTTTGTTTCCTCTTTTTCATTCAAGACTGTTTTTGTGCTGCATCCCCTCCCCACACTTTTGCCACCCCCAGCACGAAGCTCTCCAAACCAGCTGTCACTGCACCTGCCCCTCCAACTGCCCCCCCAGGTCGCTCACACGCGCGCTAGCTGCCAAAAGCACACAAAATCCTCCCAGTCTTCATCACACACACACACACACACACACACACACAGCGTGCTGCTTATTCAGTCACACCTCACATGGCAGATAATTCTCCCACACAAAAGTAAAACCAATCTCTCCCATCCACACCTCCAACACCGGTCTGGACGGCACCGACGCTGGTGGAGGAGGGAACTGCGATAGAGGAGTCGCTGCTCAGGCAGCTGCTCCTAGACTAGAGTCTCCAATTCTTCCCAAGCGGAAAAAGTCAGCAGCTGAGTTAAGATGTAGACAAGGGTGACTCTCACCATGGCAACACAGGCCATTTGGCTGCAGGAAATGCATCAGCTAGCAGGAATGGGGGGGGGGGGTTAGATGAAAAATTGAACTGTTCGCTGCCTAGTTCTAGAAAAAATAAAAAAAATACCAGCCTAATTACTAATCTGAACATATAATAAACTCACATTCTCAATAGCGCCCCCTGGGTCGCCCATCTCTCTGACTGCACACTGTGGCCCAGCCTGAAAGTTCACCACTAATGCTGGAAAAGAGCAGATATTGTTATACCAGAAGAGCTGGGCTATGGCTTCAGGTCCTGCTTTCTGGTACCTCTCATTAACAGAAGGGGGCCAGACAGCAAGGATCCCTCTGGGTGTTAAACCCGGAGTTAATCTTTAATGATCTCGGCCATGTTATTGACACCTAGTTCACAGAGAGCTTGGACTAAACAAACACATTAAAGGTTCTGTTTTAAGCTCCGTCCTCGTTTCATTAATTCCTATTTCAATGTCTCACCCAAAATGCAGACACACGACCCGAAAATCCAAACACGTCCTGGGTGCATTGATTCCGTGCCCAGACATTATCTTAGGGTCATTCGAAAAGTCTTGGTAGTGACACGGACAGGGTAAAGATAATAAGAGGACAGGCATTCTGTCAAAAACGCAATTCAGGTGCTTCGGGAGGCCTGCACGACGCAACACAGGCCTGCACGAGTCATTCTGGGCGCTGAGTAACCTGACAGCGATGATTCATGATGCTGGTGATGGCGGCGCGAGAGCAGCACCGATATCATTCTTTATTAAACAAAAGAACAAGAGAAACGATCATTATTCCCTCCAGGGAAGGAATGGCTAGCCAAGGACAGAGGATGCAGGACAGTAGCAATCTGGGCTATAGATAGCAGAACAGAGCTGGAACACAGGTATTTTCTGAATCTCTCTCCTCTAACTGGGAAAGATTTGGGTGTGGATTTGGTAAATTAAATCATGTGACATGAGACTAACTGGGACAACTGTTTTAAAAATTCAGAAATGCCTCCCAGTTGCTGTTAATGTAATCAAGTATAACGAACTTCATCAGCTTTTTTGTCTTGTAGACTATTTTTAATCTATTTTGACTAATATTAACGTTCTTAATCTCTGGTTCTGGCGGTACAAAAGTCCAACAGACCGTACCGAGTGTGAACTACACAGCCTCGATGCCCTCTGAGGCTTTTAATGACCGAAACCTCCCACAGACGAGGTGTCTGGCCCAAGGCAGGGGTGACAAAATTCCTCCATCCAGGCTCAGATATGGCTCACACACGCTCACGCCTCTACCCATCAGTCATCTGGCTGGGACATGCCTCTTCCTGTTACCAAGCTCGTACCGGTGACTGCATAAAAGTTTCCAAATGTTGTGCGAGGGGAAGGGTGGGGTTTTTAAAAGATAAAAGAAAATAAATGTGAGGGAATGCAGTTATAAGACCTGGGCAAGGCGTTCAGGAGAAATGGCAGCTGGGGGGGGGGGGGGACAAGGAAAGATTCTCACTCCAAAAAGAGAGTGTCACTAGGGAGGGAGGGGGAGAATGAGAATGGAACAGCAGCTTCAACAGGAAGTGAGTCCGGGAGACTCACCCCGGCCACAAAATAGCTGTGAGTCAAACTTCAAACTTTCAATAACTTCCGTTCTGACAGTTAGCCCAACACGAGCAGGGCAGGAAAGCCGAGAGAGATCGACAGTGCTGTACAAAGTGGAGCGTTACCATCTGAACAGGGAATCACAAAGGGCGAGCTACATTAATATTATGGCACAACAGTGAACAACATAAGCTAATCTATTATGACAAACTGCAGAGAATGGATTCTAGTTAAGTACACAGGAGATTAGCTGATTTATTTGTCATTCCATTCCAAATACACAAAGATCATGACAGAAGGGAATCATCCATGCGGGAGACGTGAGGGAAGCCCTGTGATTGGATGGTGCTGTATCCACTGACGATGGGGAGGGCGACCGTGCAACCCTTCGCGGTTTGGATGGCGGCTAGAGAAGCGGTCCGATGGGGACAACAAAAAGCTGCAGGGAGAGCCGTGAGAATGCAGGGCAGCCCCGAGCCCTGGTACTGACCCAAGGACATCATGGGAAATCTGTGCGCAAAAATTACACGGGGTATTTTTAGCCCTTGCCGTACGATTTTGCTGTCAATGCATCGGAAAGGCTTGGAGGACGAGTGAAGATTCACCCTATTGCACTGCCCAACCAGGACAATCTCCTCACCTTCCTATACAGCAGCCCCTCCCTCATCCCAGCGGACCCAACCCGACCCGGCACAATCTGTCTTGAGCTTCTCTGCACTCTCTGGGGGGTCGTTAAATTAGTGGAGCGGACAGAACCCCAAGCCAAGCCCGAATCCAAGACATCCCCGTCTGTCACAGTCAGAGAAGGCGGCCATACATCCTGATGGGGGATCCTCTGCGTTACTACGGTTACATCTGCTGAGTAAAGCAAATCCCCCCCTCCCCCTTTTATACAGTGGAATATTCCACTGGGGTAATTCAAGGTCAGGTACCTAATCAAGGGTATAACACAAGAGCCCTTGGGACGCGAACCAACAACCTAAACCCTGGAGTCCATGCCCTTACCCACCCTGTCAACTGCTGCTCATCAGGGGCTTTAGCTCATGGTGAATTAAGTATGGAAATGTGACGGAGAGCTTCTGATTGCATAAATCAAAGAGAAGGACATGATTAAAGATGATTTAGGATCACGTTGCATTTTTTTGGTAACACTCTTTTTCGAAAGATTCAGTTGCGCTGGCAATTCCGGAACACTCTTAATCAGATTATGAGAAGGTTACATTTTGAACACCCTTCCCCATTGCTGGAAAGCAATCCAGGTCTTAAAGGAACAAGCTTTCCCTTAGGTTGAAACTCTTTGTTCCTCTCCACCAATGGATTATATTATTATGGCTCAAAATAAATTAGCCTTGTTGGCTCAACCAGTCAACGTGAAGGTTGTACCTAAAGTGCCACGCTCCAGACATAGTCCACTTGCACAGATGACTGTATTAATCCTGAAATACCAACTGGCAGGTAGATAAGGGAAAAGGATTATGGGAGGTAATCCTGTGGCGTGTATGGTAATCCATTTACGAGCATATTTGTATTGGCGCTTTGCGGAAATCTACGAAGTGCCACGGCCTTCCGGCGTCAGAAGAATTATCTCACAGGCAGACCGAGGCCAACACAGCGTTAAAGAATGAGACCGTCAGACCATCCAGGAGTGGGGCATATATAGCTCGGTGGGAGGGTCACTGCTCCTAGATGAAAGCTGATTGGCCCCCTCCCCTGTCACTCACTGATTCAAAATATATCATTGGCTAATAGTAAGTTTGGCCCCTCTGTATGAATTACGGCCCCTCTTTTGTCCCCTTTAAAAAAAATCCTAGAGTCGCCCACAATTTGGGGAAACGTTTGAGGCTATCGGGGTCCAAAGGGAAGTACACCAATAATTTTCTATGGCACTGACCAGGAGGAAAGAGCCTTTTATCTTGCAGTGTGGAAAAAAAAGGACTCACAACTGGACAGGAAATTGGTAGAAAATGGATCAGGTCTTAGGGGCACCATTGAGTTCCCATCCATGACCGGCTCCTCCCACAGTCCAAAAGAATTTGATTAGACTAATCAATGTCTCTAAATTCCCCACGGTGCGTGTGCCCTGCAATGAACCAGCATCCCATCCAGGGAATCCCCGGCCTTATGTCCTGTGCTCCCACAGATTGGCTCCAGGCACTCGGTCACCCAGTATTTGTGACGGAGGATCGGCGGATGATAGATTTACTTCACTCCCATCTGGATCTTGAGTGTGAGACCTCACTTAAATACCGGGTAAGTTTTACCATTTCATATATCAATCGTGTCCGGTGAGAACTGATATTTTCTGTCATATATAAATTATTAAAAACATAAGCGAGCATGTTGGGGCCAAAGGATAGGGTTATCTGGGTCATGAACTGATACGCCTCATATTCTGAAAATGAGTATATTTAGCAGTAGAAAAAACCTCTGATCATACCGTAATGATACTCCTATGAGTTGCCAGTAACAGGAACTATATGCATTGATCCCTGACAGGATCTTGTGTTGTGTTTTTGTGATTGTAAGTAAGTGGGTAATCCTCCATTGCATAGCCAGGATTACTGTAGCACGTAAACATCCTAATATGACCCCTACCCCACCCACGCATTATCTATCTATTATATTCAATGACTGTTTATCTCATTAGGGTCACAGTGACCCTAGGCCTATTTCTAGAAGGAAGCCGGGATTGCTTGGAGTGGAGGCCAATCCAGGACACGCACTTTCACACACGCGTGCTAGGAGTGATTTCTGATCCCCTCCCACAAGAGGGGAACTAATGGCACGAAAACACATGCTAAGGACAATGTAGAGGCCCCTTGAGGGGAAAACAGGCAAAATACTGGGGGTGGGCATACATCTTTCCTCGCTGTCCCTCCCTC